TTGATCCTTTTTAAATTTTTTTTTGATCGGCTGAGCCTAAATTTTTTTTGATCCATTTTAAATTTTTTTTTGATCCTCCATCCCTCATCATCCAGGTGACCATCGGCTTTTGGATGTCGTCCTTGCCCCTTGTCAAAGTTTCTGTGTGGAGACCTCCACGGACCGACGGCTCCGATGGCTCCGACTGAGGGTTTAGGGCCGTTTATGGGTCTTTAGGCGGACCAGCCTAAGGACCTGGGGAGGCCGAGGCAACGTCGACAGCCGCTCCGCCATGGCCTCAAGTCTCGCACTCTGCTTGATGGGTATCATCTATGAGCCGCCCGGCCGAGGAATTTTTGGGTTTAGGGCTTCGGGGCTTCGGGGGCCCTCTGTGCCTCTCTGACTCTGTGCCTCGCCGAGGCTTCGGCTCTACCATCCCCTGGGTCTGCCACTGGGTCGAAACCTGCTGCCCATCCTGAAGGCAGCCCAGACCAAGGAGTTCGTGGCCATGCTCATCCTCATCATGTCCATCCTTCTGGCACCCGAGCTGCAAGCTTGCATAAGCTTGCGGTGCAGTCTGCAGCGCATCTCTCCTGCCGACTCTAACCCTTGATCCTGAGCGCCCGAGCACTCGAGGCCACCTTCTTGGCTGCCTGTGTGGAATTTCAGGAGTTTGACGGGCAGCTGTTGTCGGTGGCTGTGAGAACATGGCAGACTCTGATTGTGGGGGAGTCCTCGCTCTTCGATGTCGACAACTACGAGCATGCAGCCTTGCGCTACTTCGTGGTGTCCTTCCTTTTCTTCGTGTGCAACATCGTGCTCATGAATATCTTCATCAGTGTCACGGGCGCCGGCTACGAGGAGGAACGTGCCAACATCGTGGGCACCTTTAGCGCAGAACGCTTTAGGGTGTGCATGGAAAGTGTGGAGGTCACGGGATGGTCCAGGTTTTTTGTTCTGGTGGCCATGGTTTGCGGGCTCTGCATACGGATGATGGTCAGCCTGGCACTCGGAGAAGTCTGGACCTTCGTCACGGAAGTGTTGGCTCTCCTCATCTGGCTCATGCTCTTCCTGTTGCAGTGGCACTTCTGCCAAGAGGTTGCGAAGCTTCGAGTGAAACCCGAGGACTTCGATCCCGAAGCGAGGAAGTACCTCTGGATCTGCGTCCCATCACAGCGGTTGGAGGTGGACGAGGATGCAACGGATGTGAGCCTCAATGAGACCCCTGCTTTGAATGGCCCAGCTCTCCTGAACCGATACTTCTCCCCCTCTAGGCTTGAAGCTTCCGCCCCCACTAAATCGAGAACTCTCAAACCCCAAATCCGCAAGCCTCCGACCCAGGATTGTCACAAGCTTAAACGAGCTTCGCGATTTGCCCCTCGGCCTCATCAAAGTGATGTGCACCTCCGTGTCGAGAGCCCAACACGGGCTCAACAAACCATGCATCTGCCCTGGCCCTCAGGTTGCAGCGGAGGCCCGCTCCTGGCCGCATTCGCCGCACACGCCGAGTGCAAGTGAACACACACAGGCCTCCAGGGTCCAGCGGTTTGGTGCCGTGTGGGCTCTGTTGATTCATTTTTTCTTTACTTCGTCTTTGTCGAAGATTGAAGGCTTGAGGCTCGGACGTCTGAGGTCGGCCGAGACCCGTAATTACGTAATCGTTAGCCCGGACCCAGAAACCCCACATCATCCACATCCTCACCAGAAGCCTGAAGCCTTAAACCGGAAACTGCAAGCGGTCTCCGAGCTTTCGTGCGCTTAATTCGGCGTTCTGGCCTCTGGTCTGGTATTGGCTCGGGGCCGCTTCGAAGAGGGGGGCGGCTGCAGGAAGTGGCTCCAGGACTTCCTGGCAGAGGCCGAGCTGGACCTGGAAAAGCCCCTCGTTGAGAAGGCCGTTTTCTCCTAGTGAACATCTTGGCGTTCGGAATCGCTCCGAAGGTCTGTCAGTCTGCTAGTCAACCCAGGTATCTGGAGAGCGCTCTGCGATGGGCCGAGACGCGGCTCGGCGCAAGGGGTGATTTTCACTGAAAACCTGGAAGAACTCGACACAAAATCTCTCGCGCTACTGCTTGGGCCCCAAGGAGCGACATTGTCCAAAGCGACTTGTTCGGAGGGCCAGGCGCAGGTGTGTCACAGGAGGAGGCCAAAGCACATCTGGAGGATTTGCTGGTGCACCAGGGCTGCAAGCAGGAACACCGGAGTCAGAAGTGGGGGTTGATGGCTAGGTTCCTCTGCCGGGAGAACTCGAGATTCTCTCGGCATCGGCCTGCAGGCACATGGGACTCAGTGATGCTCCATCTCGCCGCCTTCGCTGGCAGCAGCAGCTGCACTGGCGGCCTCGTGCGTAGTACCTGCGCCATGGGTCGCCAAAAACACAGAAGCTGGTAGAAGCAGCCAGAACTGGACGTATGAAGCCACATGAACAAGCGTGTGCTTGTTCATGTGTGACGTGGAATGAGGCACGGAAAGGCCAGAGTCAATTGCTTTTGCGCGATCCCCATGGCGCGGCTGAGAAAAGCAGGCCGGGGAAGAGGCATAGCTCTCAGCGGTGGGGCTTCGATAGACGGGAGTTCTGTCAATTCTCGGGTCTGTGACTGGTGTTGTGTTGGCGAGCTCTGTAGTCAGGAGATGGCTTGGGTTAAACTTGGAATACTGCCGCGCCGCTGTCCAAGACAGGCTGCCGGCCGCAAACGAGCCGTTAGGCTGCTGCGGCTTCCCTCCCGCAACCCTAGAGATCTCGAGGCTGTTCTAACAGCAGTGCCCGGTGGGGAAGCCTCTTCAGCTGTAGCGTCGAATTGCTAACGTCACCCTGGTATTGCCTGACGGCAGGATCCTTCCCTCGCGAGACCTGGCTCACGTGTAGCCTGTAGCCTACAGCGAACCTGTAAACCTGCAGAAGATTCTATTGAGGGCTTAGATGCAGTAAGGGCTCATCCCTTCAAATCAAGCAGTCGCTCAATGGGTTGGTCTTGCCATCAAGTAGATGTCAGCACACAGGAAGAGAGCACTGACTGAATACCGGTATCTTCTCTGCTTTCGGCAAGATGCTCTCATTCTGTTCGTACTAAAGTGGCCTCCGACGTGCCTGCGGACACCTCGTCCCCGGCCTCCAGCACGACTCTCGAATGCCGTGCCGTGGTTTCAGGGTGCCTAGCCTGGCCGGGCAAAAGAGTGATGTACGACTGTACGACCAACCTGCTTTTGCCCATCCCGAGCTCAAGTTAGTGTGTTTCCTACACCGTTGAAACCTCTTCCATGCTTCTCAAGTGTTCGACCGGTCTTGTGTTGTGAATTGGTCTGTCCTGTGTGTCTGTGGGAGTTGGTGTTGTCGGAGAGAAGAGGCCTGTTTTATTCGCTAGCCGACAGGTGTAAGGTTTAAGGCACTCTTCCGCCTGTAGCCTTTGCCGTCACGACATGCCTTTTATCAGGCTGCATTGCCCAAACTGCCGGCACGGCCTCCGAGAGACATGCTGGTAGATTCGGAATGCCAATTGGCGGCTCGTCAAACGCTGAGTTCGCAGAGCAAGATGATTGATTCCCCGGAGCCCGGAATCAAAAGCGAGTGAGAATAATTCCGATGGGTGCCGGGGTGAGACTGCGATGAATGGGTCGAGTCTACATTGACTTCCGTGTCGAGCATGGCCGCACATAGCTCAGAGGGATAGCTTCCGGGCAGAGCAACGTCGTGCCGCCATCGGTGCCCAATTACCCACTTGGAGCATGATTGAATTAAAGCTTCCCGACTGATAACTCTGCCAACAAGACTCCTCACCACAACCAGAAGCCCTGCACTGCTAGAACCGGAGCTATCGTTCCCGTCGTTGTTGCAGCAGGATTTGAATCAAGTCTTGAATTTTCGGAGCTGTGCGCGTTCTTTAAGGTCTTGGTATGGGATGATCCGAGCACACAAAAGAAGCTCGAGCCTCTCTAAGGTCCACGGTCAAAGAGTTGTGGTTTCAGGCTCAGGGAAGTTTAGGGTTTAGGGTTGAGCGTTTAAGGATCCATGGGTAAAGGGCTACGGCTTCGAAGTTTAGCATTTCGGGGTATCTCTGTGTAGATTCAGTGCTGCAATGGAGGTTTGAAGGTGCGGTGAAAGGTTGTCGGTTTTCAGAAATGCAACTCCCAAGGTATCAAAACCCGAAATCAAACCTGATGGTAAAGTTGATGGATACATGCAGGAGAGGCAGAGGCGGCGTCGACACAAAGCTAGGCTCAGCTAGACTCAATCCCGAGGTTCATTCGCAGAGTAGGTGCCTTTCTGTTGGTTTTTGTTACAACACGCATGCTATCCGCAGCTGTGGCATGCCTGCAGCCGGAACTGCTTCGGAAGACCGGAAGGAGCGACAATGAAGGCAAGCATCGATACCAACAGATTTGACGTCATGATGCCTAGACCCATGTAGCAAGCCAGGCTTCAATTCAAATTTTCCCGCCCGTCGTCGGATCGATTTGTTTTGGGCATCTTTCATCAGGTTTTTGCGCAATAGACTGCGCCAAAGCTGCGTTTAGCAGAGACAGAGCTGTACTTGACATCCCTGTCTTGCTGCTCCAGCGCAGACGTGGACACATGTAGACGTCGTGATTGGCACCGAAATGCAAGTGCAGCGGAAACGGTAGCGATGCGACAGCGGGGCGGCCTGCTGCAGCTTCATTGCAAAGGCTGCATACGGTCTTGCAGTGACTTAGTTTCCATGGTTGAACTCTTTCGGCTTGCTGACTGTTGCACAGCATGCCAATCAAGGCAACTCCAACACATCAGGTTAAGTTGGAGGTGTTGTTCCTTGAACTTGATTGCACGAAGTGTGCTGCAACTGGAATGCAAATGCCAGACAGATGCATCAGACGAAATGTCGACACACGTTGGGTGTCCGGTTAGAGGTGGATGGAGTCTTCATTTAAGCTTCGATTAGAAGGCTGAGGGTTCCGAAGAGGACGGCGTTGTTGCAGACGCATTTACGATTAGGATCCTGGGCTTGGCAGAAAGCCCTGGAACTGTTTTTCAGCAGCTAAGTAGCAAAGTGCGTAAAGTAGCCGATTCGGCAGGCGCTGAGCGTGGCTGGAGAAGTCTGCTGAGATGCGTGCCGCCCTCGCCGAGCGTGCGCGCCGGGCCGCCTCGGGTGCCGCGTCGGCGCTGCGAGCCAAGGGGCATCCCGCCTCGGAGTGCGGAGCTGAGAGGCTGAGCATAGGCCGAAAAGAGCGCTGGCTTCGTCCGCGGCGAGGTTGGAGAAAGTGCTGCGGCGTGTGACGCACGCGGACTGCGCGGCCATTCCATCGGAGGTGCCGAAAGAGAGCTGAGAGTTAAGAGATGTTAAGAGGTCAGGAGAGGGCTGTTGAAGTCTTCGGGAGGACCTGGAGGCGGCCGTGCGATGGGCGAAGAGGAGTGAGGAGGCCCTGGCGAAGTCATTGAAGCACATCCAGGAGCTGGATGTTGAAAGTCACCATATGCAGGCTCATGCTTTCCCACCTGAAGTGTCCAGTTGATTTCAGTAAGGAGAGAGGGCCTTCTAGCAAGTTTGGGGTGTGCTCAGCGTGCTCTCGGCTACGGGTGGAGTGGGCCACAGTTTAGGTTTCCGAAGGATGCGACGGGTCAAATGTGCGAGAAAGGCATGAGTCAAAACGAACGCTTGCGATCAATAAAAATCAGTATACCCGACCGAAATGGCCGACCCTTCGTCGAATATGGTGGGCGAGTCGGTTTGCGCGCGCACTACGTGGCTGCTCGAACTGTCGAAGTCACACGCTTCGAGTTTCAGCCTGCCGTCGCAGCGTGCTTCTCGCAAGTTGCACGCAGGAGAACATCGCCGCTGACCCCTCGGATTGGAGGCGTGATCAGCGCCACCCTCGCCATCGTCACGAAAGCAGCAGCACCTCCAGCAAAGCCGTTGATGCAGATCGTAGCGAGAGAATCAAATAACGCGGGCAGGCGGATCCATGGAGCTCTGGCCTTGTTCGAGGCTTTGGCGGCCGAGGGTGGCTCTTTGGTGGGGAGGCGCGGCCGTCCGAACTTAGAAGATTGCATGGTGATTTCATGGAGCTTGGAGACCCGGAGGTCCTGGTTCGAGGTGAAGATGCAAGGTCGTTTGAAGGACCTGCAGACCTTTCGTTTCTTGGCGCAAACAGAAGTCTGGAGCAGATTGCTGAAGAACTGCTCCGAGAGAGCAGGTCCAGGTTGTTGCTTGATACGACTAACTGACTAACTTGTTCCTCTGAAAGATTGACACGAGAGGCTACGACGCGGACCCGCGTGTGGCAGGGCTGGTGCAGCGCGCGGCTGCTTCCGCCAACAGTGCAGCAGAGAAGCTGAGCTGGGAGGTGCAGTGGGGATTCTTCGGGGGAGCGAGGGTGCAACGAACAGTCGATGCTGCCACATGCCACTAGCTTACGTTCTAGTTCTGTTGGTGCAAAGGTCTCATTCCATGTAAACATGAGGTGTGTTTGATCGACTGCAGGCTTCGAAGTTGGAAGGAACATAAGTGGGTGCCGACTTGGACAGCTGCCAGAATTAAGCCTATGACTGCCTGGCAGGATGATGGTGTCTTCGCAGATGAGGTGCGCTTGCCTGCTACCATGCATCTCTTTGTCGGATCCTGTTTTCTAGTTTGAGCCAGAGGCACCCGAAACTTCGGACAAAGTGCCGGAGATCCCACCGGAGTGGACGGGAGGCCCGGAGATGCCCGGAGGACTGCGCAGCAGCGAGCGAGAGCTGCTCTTTTGACGCTGTCAGGTGTAGAGGACGCAGTCAAGCCCACGGTGCTCGGCCGCGCAGAAGGCGTCAAGGCCAAGGCTGCTCAGAGAGACTTGCACGGAGAACCCGAGGGCGCATGCGCCAGGAATGGACACACGTTTTATCAGTTGCACAAGTTGCACAGACTAGCCGACACATCCGACCTTCAGGCATAGATGCTTGGACCCAGATCAGGAAGCTGGGACCCTCCCTTGCTATGAAAGTTGGTGAATCCTACTTCGGCGTGGCAGGAAAGTGCCGGGGCGAACCCACCCCTCAGTCCGGTTTTGAGAGTCTCGTGTTGGCAAGACTTGCCGCAGGCTCCGAAGCCGGCAAAGCCCGAACAAGACGAGGAGCCGCGGGGGTGATGCAGATCGGACACATCAAGCTTGCACTAGCACAAGCAATTCCTCTCCGTAGTTGCCCTCAGAACTTTCTGCTCCGATCCCAACGGGCTCTTGCTATTTCTCAGGACCCAAATGCTGCCGCGGTCGAATCGCGCTGCTGCTGCTGTTGCCGCCGTCGTCGTGCAGATGAGGTGCCTGCAAAGGCCAACGAGTGATGCTGAGTGCTACTACATACAGACTTGAGCAAATACGAGTTTTGGCTGCCACAAATCATAAACATTTCCAGTCGCGCCGGCAAGGCCAGCACCCTCACGCCTTCGAGCCAGGTGTCCGAACAGGATCACCTTTTGCCTTGAGCTGCCGCCGTTGCAAAAAAGAACTGGTTGCAATCTACTCTCTAGTGTTTTGTGTCTCGAGTTGAAAGCCCCAGCGAGTCCGAGTGTGGCTTTAACCTGCCCCTCACAAAAGGTAATGTATTTCTCGCCAGATACCGCGCCCTAAAGCCTCAGATGATACTGGCAAGCTGGTCTTCATGACTTGGAGATTTAGACTCGGGCACTCTTTGTTCAGTCTGGGATTGTCGTCGATAGCATGTTTTTCGGCGTGCAGGTTTTCGGTTGACTCGTGTCGATCTCCTCAAGTGGCCCAGCTAGGAGCCCAGCGAATTGTTGAAATGGACACATCACAGGCTGTAGATCGTAGCAATACGCAACATGCTTCTGCATCGGGCAGCTTCCCTTCGCACCAGAGTTCTGTGCCAGGCTCACTTCACAAGAAACTCGAAGGCTTTGGTCCGCACAGAAACTGAGCTGATCCTCGCATCACATGAGGGAAACCAACTGAGATAGAAGGGCCGTCTCAACTTCGTCTAAACGTCTTCTAAAGCCTTTTCGTCTTGTTTTTCTTTGATGGGCCTGACGAGACGTTGACCGGAAGGCCGGAGCGTGCGGCGTGCAACCCACGTAGATCGCAGATGCCACGTCGCGATGAAGCCGTCGTAGAAAAGCTCGAGCCCACCCCAGCCTTGAGCTTTGTTGTTCATGTCGTTGTTGTCGTCGTCGTTGTTGTTGTGGTGGTTCTTGTCGTTGTTTACGTCCGATGCCTGCATGGAGGCAAGGGGGTCATTTGCTGCAAGCATGTCTGTGCGGGACATTCATTATTATTGCCAGTTTCGGCGGAAGGGATGAAAGACACCTGACAGTCTTGCATGCTTGCGTGTACGTTTTTGAAGTCAAATGAAAGTTTCTGACATGGAGCTTAATTCACCTGACAAGCAGGCACTTGGCAACTTGTTTGGACATGGTGCCCGGCGTCAGGAGTTCCTAAACTCAGGCTTTGGAACACTCCAGACTCCAGCCGCTCTGTGCGGGGCCATGCTCACAAGCTCACACCTTCAGCATAGCCCCAGAAGCCGCATCGAAGCAAGCCCAATGTCGTAAGCGCTGCCGGCTCAAATGCCGCGTGATGATCTCGAGACCAAGGATTGGGAAGTTGTTGCGTTTTGCTGGCTTATGTTTCACCACATGAACTGTGTGTGGCAGGACTTCCTGCTGTCGAAGGCTGCCCGCCTGGACCGTGCGCTGCGATCACTACCCAAAGCCGACCTGAAATCCTTGCAGGCCTGTCAAGTTCGTAAAGATGGCTCAGCGCCTGAAGTGCGTTCATATTATCGATTTGACTGGCTGCCTCGGCCAGGCTGCTTCCCACAAGAAGGCGCGCAAGCTCCTGCGCAGCTTATCTTACCCCGCCAGACCACAGGCGGGAACTTCAACGAGTCAGGGAGACGATGTAGGCTAGGGTCAGTCGAGCTTCCTGAAGGCCAATGGCGACACCGCCGAGACGATCCAGAACCGGATCGATGTGCTTGGCACCAAAAGCACTGCTGCGTCCACCGCCAAACAGATCCCACCGCTCACCGAAGCACTTCACATGGGACCAGATATGGTGACTTGGCTGGGACCACTCATGTCCAGCAGTCCAGCATGCCCGGGACGTATGCACATGCTGGAACCTGTCTGAGTCGACTCCTCACAGGTTAGTGTCCAAGCCTTCGCCATCGAAGCCCGACAGCCACTGGCAGAAGACCTGTGTACCGAGGCAGTCTCTGGGGCTGATGTAGGGCTTGGAGGGGCTTCTCATTGAATTCGTGTACGACATGTGCTGCGTGCACGCAGTTTGGCTTTGTCTGGTCTTTATATACCCCGTGCGATTATAAATATCGGTTTCTGGCCAGAGGCCCTTCGGCGTACCGGCGCCAACTTGGATTGGGCTCCTTGGTTTACCACCGTGCTTGTGCCAGCTGTGGTGGGGGCGCCTCAAACCCTTCGAAGATCTTCGAAGATGGCCGCGTGCTGTAAGGTTCGGCTCGAGCCGCTGAGCCACCACTGTGAAGGCCGGTGGCCTTCCCTGGAGACCTTCACGAAGCGACTTGGCCGCTGGTAGCCGGGCACATATTGCATGTAGAGCTGTTATCTCAGCGGTCCTGTGCTTCCTGCAAATCGGTTTTGCAGAGTGATAGCGGGCTGGCAGTGAAAGTCCATCTGCTGGCAGGAAGCCTAATCAAGCGGTTCCTGCCGTGTCAGTTCAGACAGTTTCTTCAGCAGACGTTCAGGGGGTGGTGATGTCAATGTGGAGATGTGGAGATGCATAAGGTTCGAACTGACGACCCTGGATGCTAAAATAGCCAACCTGAGTGTTATGCACGGGCTGGTTCCGTGTCTGTGTGTCTTCCAATGCGCCTCTTCAGGTTCTATGACATCCCTCCGCACCTCCGGCCAAAGCCGCGTACGCCGCCTCCGCCTTCAGAGCCCAGTCCCGTGCTTCGGCCGAGAATTGGGCGCTTCTTTGGGCGCTTCCGGCGGAACCTCTGAGATGATTCCGGAAGCCGAGGAGCCGCCGCGGCCCACCATCGGCTGCATTGAGGAGGCGAAAGCCTTTGGACGCCGGGAGCTTTGAGCGACCGAGGCTGCCGAGGCTCTTCGATACAGGAGAACTGCAATGTGCTGAGGCTCCTCGGATCTGCTCGCAGCTCTCGTCCGAAGCCTTGACCTAAGCCCTTTGTTCTCTGGCCTGGTCACGGAGCTGCTAGCCGACTTACCGAGGCCTTGCCGGAGATCCTGGCTTAGAGCTTGGCTCAGAAGCGGCTGCCCACGTCGACGTGGCACAGCGGATGCAGCAGCAGCCCCGATCGCCGAGGGAGGAGACCCAGTCCACCGAGCTCCAAGCCCAGACCAAACAGAACCTCTTCCAGGCGACGGCCGCGCCTGGCCTGAATCGTTCTCCCTTCATTTCACTATCCGACCTAGAGCACGCATTTCAGGTTGAATAGGCTCTGTTCCTTGCGGTCTCAAGGCCTGCCAGAGCTTGGAGACCCTGAGCCAGCCGTTCTTCTAGGTGGGGGGATCCGCAAGGAACAGGACGTTGTGGGCGTTTGACCACATGAGGCACTCGTAGTGGAAGTCCCGGTCCCAATCTTGGACGAGATGCTGGGCTTTGTATTCGCAGATGTGACATTGACGGTCAGATGTCCGTTTCCAACTGAACCGAGCAACAAAAGCCAAGGACGAAGCACTGCCACACCCGGAAAGAGGCAGTGAAGCTCTCGAAGATGGACGGCCGGCTCAGAAAGAAAAAGAGGAGTCCTACGTGCTTCTTGCCATGTTCTCCTGACCTCAAGGAGAGCTTCGTGACGGCCAGGGGAATGCGGCTCGTCCGGTGTTGAGTGCTGGAGGCTCACACGGAGCCTGATCCATACTGCTGGGAGTGGGCCATTGGGGATTCGCATCGCATGGCTCGACTCTTTGCAGGTTCGGATCTGCGCGACCTTCGGGGGTGCAACAGGACCTGCGTCTCCGTCCTTGCGGTCAGGGCACAGCGGAGGCTTGCCCCGAAGGGCCGGGGGACGAAGTTCACATGGGTTGCAGGACCGACCGTCTTGCTCTCCTTTTCCCATATAATCATGTGCGCACCTGCGTCTCCATCCATCCATCCATCCATCCACCCATCCGTTGACATCGATCCATCTATCTAGCTGTTTATCTGACTATCTATCTATCCATCCATCCATTCAGCCAGCTATCTAGCTATCCAGCTGTCTGTCAGTCGATCTTTCCATTCCTCTATGCAATCACGCGCTCTTTCTGCTGTATTTGTTTGTACAACAGACATGCATATGCACATACATACGAACATACACCTGCGCGTGCACACACGCACACACACACACACATCATCACATGTACACTTGCCTACATACCTAAAGCCAGACAGACGTGGAATGGTTCGACAGCGAATTCTGTTTTGCAATCTAGCCTTCCGGTAGGTCTCCCGGATGCCAGGTGCGCGAGCGGGTCCTGGCATCAAGACTGGGCGGCTTCGGGGCGTGCCGGCGACGAAACCGCCCAGGGGCAGCCCGGTCCGTTGAGACCTCACAGCCGAGGGTATCTGCAATGGCAGGGCTTTCGACGGTGGATGTAGATCAGCTGCTAGCTGCCGTTCAGTCTGAATGGGCAGTGAGCGCAGTTTCAGATGCAAGATCTTCGTGGAAAGGCATCCTGCCCACGAGGAACTTGCAGTCATCCTAGCTGTGGTGCTGCATACCACCCACCGCCCTGGTGGGGCCATCACGCCTAAGGCGTGTCCAGCCCGCTGCAAGACAAAAGATCGCCCGAACTTCGATAGCTAATTTCTGTACACGTTTATGATTGAGCACACAGTCTTGTAAGCCCAACTTCAGGATGAAGAGCAACTTGATTTGGCAGGGCCTGAATGGCGACGAAAGAATGCCTACTCGCGCTGCGGCGCTGATTAAGAAAGCTAAGTGATCCCTCTTGGAAGTTGCGTACCCAGTGCACAAACTTTCGACTTGTTTCGGTTTTGGCAAAAGTCAAGCGACAAATCAAGCTCAACATCGTAGTGCCCGCACTTTCCTTGCCAGCACTCCAAGCTTTTGCTACACAGGTGGATGCGTGTTGTGTGTTATGGCGCCATGTATGCAGCGAACAGTATTCTTCCACCAATCCACAGTCGAGGCTGGGTTATTTGACACTTTCTCATGTAACGCGTTTGGTGTGCTCGAGACTCAGCAAAGAGCCACATGGAATGCATAGATGAAAAGGATCATGAAGAATCTTTTCGAGCTCAGTGTGCCCAGATGCTTGCACTAAGTTGCCGACAGTTCCCTATCTCTGCATGTTTTCCCCCGCTCGATGGCCCTCAGCAAGTCAGATGAAATCCACGCTCACCCATATCCCCAAGCCTAGAATCGTAGTACTCCCGAAAGTTGCCACAACAGAGTCGCGGGAAATGGCCCGCAAGCGGCGCTGCGGCGAGGATGCCTCCCCAGAGGATCGGCCAGCAATAGGTATCACCAGTTGATACTGCACAGCTTCGGCTTCCATACTGCAAACCCTGGTAGGTTGCATTGATTTGCATTGCGTGTCTTGGCTTTGCTTGCCCCACTCTTCTAGCACCCGAGCAGGCCGGAAGGCGAGGCCGGCGGCATGTTGGACTTGGAGCGGTCATACTGGAAAACTTGGGCTATTCCGGAAACGACGATGAAGGCCGCCGGCTCGGAGGGACGTGCCGTCAATCGTCAGCCTGGCAACGGTGTAGTCGCAATGTAAAAGTAGGACAAAGAAGGCGCGGCCGAAGAAACATTCCGAGTGTACCCTTCGTTCTTCATGCTCGTCAGTCATGGTGGTGACGGAGGCGATGGTGTTGGGCGGTGGTGGTGGTGCTGGTGGTGGTGGTGTTTGTATCGTGGTGGTAGGAGCAGTGGCAGGAGCAGTAGCAGTAGCAGTAGGAGCCGTCGTTGAGTAGTCGGAGTCGTCGTCGCAGTAGTAGTAGTAGTAGTAGTAGTAGTAGTAGCAGCAGCAGCAGCAGCAGCAGCAGCAGCAAAGAGCAGTAGCAGCAACAACAGCAAAAGCGGAAAGAAATGGTCGTAGTTTTTTCGTACAAGGAGTGCTAATCACGAGGACAAGCCGGGCGAGATGAGGCTGCCAACCCCACATTCCTTTCTGTTGCTGTCCAGGCCAGGAAGCCAAGGCCGCAAAGCTCGATGCCTATGCAGCTCCCGAGCCCTGCTAGCATTCACTCTCGCATAAGTTTCGATCTTACATCTCGTCAGATTTGTGGAAAGAGGATTCTGAAAGCATTCAGACTAGGCACCCCTTCCTGCGTGTCACATGTTGTGGGAAAGCTGTCAATGCAACGTGCAGTGGCAGCTCATCGGACAGGCAGACATGGAATTCGACGTTGCAAGTCTAATAAGGGCTTGCAGGGCCAGCTTCTTGCAGAATCATGTTTCCATCGGCGGAAGCAGAGAAGCCAAACCTCGAGGAGGGCGCGGAGCGCGCAAGCCCAGATGAGGCTCCAGTGCATGTTTTTGTGCAGGCATGTCGGCGAGCTTTGCGTCCCCTTCCCCAGGGAGTTGAAACCATTTTCAAGGTTTCTTCTTTGTCTCGTACACTGTGCCTGTCGCTCATATGCACATGGTCATTGCAGATTGGAGTGGTTCAGGCCGTAAAGATTCGAGGACCGTCACTAGTTCTGCCGGTCGTAAAATGACTGGCTAGGCTGAATTTGTCATCCGGCTTCCTATTGGTACACCGATTCCTTCGTCGTTGTGCAACCAGTTGTTTTCAGGAAATTGGCAATGCAGCAGCTTTGTACCCTTGCAAGCCAGGCGCCCAGGAAGCGCCGGCCGCGCAAGGACAGCAAACCCATTCTACGTGCAGGGCCGACGCCTCCACAGATGCAAAGCTCGTTTGAGAATTGGGAGCGTCTGCACAAAAAGAGAAAAAGCATAGGGGTTGCTCACCGAGAGGCAATCTTGCTTTTGGCGTTGCTTGCGTCGAAGGAGAAGCGTCTCCCCGAGGCGGAGGCCGCAAGCGGAGATGAGGCCTCGCGTCGCGATGCGTCGCGCGTTCCAGGGCACTGCGCAGCACTGCGACAGCACTGCGAGGCGCCCAAGAAGCGCCGGCCTCGAAAGGCCCGTGAGGCGCGTGAGCGGCACGCAGCAGCACGCTGCGAGTCTTCGTGCAAGCGTCTGTCGCGCGAGTCTCGGGCCGGAAGCCTTCCGTCTTCCGCTGGACTCGCCAGGCTCCAGATGGAGCTGACGAAGAGCAGCCGCAGGTTGCCCACGTGTTACCACGCTGCCACATTGCTGTCTCGTCGTGGAGTGGGGCCTGTTTCGCAGGGCGACCGCGCACAGAGGCAGAGACGAGCCAGGACGGAGAGAGAAGGGCTCGGTCTCTCGAGCCGAATGTGTCGGAAGTTCCAAGGCCGAAAGAGAAGCAAGAGTTTGGCGAGGAGGAGGCTCCTTCTGAGGGTTTCGCCGGTTGCTTTAGAGCTCTTGCCCCAAAGTGGCATCCTGCCGTTTACCGCGAAACATATACAGTGCACCCGGACGGTTCGACCGAGCTGCAGGAACCCGACGAGGCGTCAGTAGCCGTGCCTGTGCTGCAATAAAAAAACCTCGGAAAGTGCCTCGCGTCCGGCTCTCGCCGATTCTCGGCGCCTCGAGCCGAGGCGTGGAAGCGCCTCCTCGCTGCGCGAGCCGACGGCGAAGACTTGCGCCTGGCTTTCTCCCTGCGGCCCATGGTTCCGCAGGCTGCAGCCACCACAAAGAGAGGGAGAGGCAGAGAGAGCGAGGGACCGGCTGATGTGAAACACCGCCATGATGTCCTGACTTTCGCACAGCTTGTGAGCCCAGTGTGTGCCGTTTGGCTGATGCCGGTGTGCAGCTCGGGCCTGGCCTGCTCAGAAGCACATCTGCATTAGGGCCCGCCGGCTGATGAATTGCCCACGGCAGTGTTTTGCGTGAATTACTGGTGCGTTGGGCACAGGAGCTGCGCCAGCTGGGTCCAGAAAGCTTCCTTGGGAAGAAGATGCCGGCCTGCAAGCAGTAGATCTTCTTGCATCTCGACTAATTCCCGACCAATTTCTAAGCTCGACAGTCCACACATGGATCTGAAACTGAAGCCTAACGTTTCTCCAAGGAAAGAGCTGGGTGCGCAGCCTTTATTCAACCGCGAGGGCAAAGTGAACCTCCAGTGCGTCGCTCAGATGATGCTTGTAGTGCAGTGGCTTGAGAGGATGACTGCTCATGCTACACCGCTTTTTCCGGTCGGAAAAACAGACATGTAGCAGGGCCTCCGTGCAGGTTTCTCCTTGCCAGCTACAAGGCATCAGACAAGCGCCGTGGGGAAGATAAGGCTGGAACCGGGCAGCCATGCACTTTCCATTCAAAACTACGAGCCGGTTTCCGTTCTCCCAGTGACTTCCGTGCCGCAGGATGCATCCAACCCTCACCATCCGTTCCTGCTCTGGTTAGTGAAGCAGGCCGGGCACATGTCCCAAGTTTTCGCCTCCCCGAGAAGGGTCAGCTTCTTGTGTCCATGGAAGGATTCTAGGGAACAGGCAGGAGCAGCTTTCAAGACCTCCCCACGCTCGCGAGATCTTGGCAAGTTGCGAGGCTCGCCAGCTGCGGCTGCTGAGCAGTAGGGAGGTGAAGCGGGGGCAGATCCCCAAACAGCGTCTGGAGCAGGACGGCTTTCTCTGGATGTGAGATGCACACTGCCTTATGAAAGTCATCCTCATGAGTACAGTTCTTAAGGATGAGGGAAGGGAGCAATTGCTTGCCAGTAAGGCCAAGACGCGAAGAGTCCCAGTGTCATTTGTGACAGTTCCTGTTCAGTGCATTCCGCAACTAAGATTTGATCAAGACGTGCGAGAAGAATTGGAAGAAGCACACAGGGCCAGGTAAGCTGTGTGCATTTGTTGTATGCGGTCGGATTCGTGACAGGCGAAAACGAATGGCTACAGCCTCGCAGATGGAGCCAATCTGGCACAGGCCAAAAAATTGATGGTTATGCTAGCTCGCAATTGAGTGAGCGCAAATAAAACACCGAACAGCCTGCTAGGCTTCCGACGATGAAGAGCGAAATCGTCAGAAGGAAGCTGAGGAGCAGGACAGGTTGGAGAAGCAGGGCAAAAGCCAAGATGCAGCTTTGTAGAAAACGTTTCGAATGAAGGATTTGGCAAGCCAAACCATGCTGAACTGGGTCGAATAGGTCCAGGAATGATTACAGCCTAGTTCGGTTTCGGAGTTGTCTTGTCCTTGACGTATTCAGTTTTTGCTTCCTGCAAACTTGCTTGACTTGTGCTGGGGGGTACAGGCATACGTGAATAGATGCGTGGACATGCCTATGCTTGGAGTGGACAAGCACATTCCCGGAAGAAGCATTCTGAAGCAGAGGCGAGTGCAGACATTCTGCAACGTGAAGTTCTATTCCCAGAGCGAGTCGGCAGTGCGAACCTCGGTATCCAGCATGCATCGCAGGGCTCGAAGCTCGGAGCGTTCTGCCGATTGTCGCAATGGCAGCGGTCGGAGTGCTCGGCTTGCGAAGGTCAGTCCCTGGCTGAGTCGTCCGAGCGCTTGCGGCAGCAGCTGCGAAACCAAGCAGAGCTAAGAAAGGCGAGCGGCTTGGCATGCGTGTGCTTCGAGTTTCAGTGCATGACTTCGTCAGAGCCTGGAAAGAATCGGCAGGGACCCTTCCCCCCCACGGACATACCGCATCGCCAGGAAAGGATAAAAGCCCACTCCAGCAACGGCCAGGATCTGCAGTCAATGTTGTTTGGCCGCAGCTAACTGCCTATTACATTAGACCCGTTGGAGACGGCCGAGAAGTTGCAGCTGACAGTATGTCGAATCGAGGTGTTGTGGTCGGTAGATATGTGACAAGAACGGCAGCACTGACTTGTCTCGCGTAAGGTCTTCAGTTCTCAGCGCGCCATCCCTTTCGTTCGACTGGGTTGAGCCGGAGTCCGACGAGGCCCGCACGGTCGAATGCAAAGCTTCGTCTGACCTCTTGAAGAAGCACGTGCGATGCACAGGAGACCAACCCGAGCGGCACGTTGCAGGCCATTCGCAGAGTTGCCGCAGCAGTTTCTGGATTTTTGCAGTGCGAGCAAGTTACGCAGTGCCCTCTGTACTGAGACTATGCCCCAACACCCAAGCAAGCCGGAGCTGCATGTGGGCAGAGGTATCAGGGCTCATTCTGGAGTGAGTGATGTGGTCAGCACCCAGACGACCTCTCAAGGTTGATCTGCCTCCCAGCGCACAGAGCTCCGAGTCGCGGCGCGAGTTGCTTCGGGAAACGATCCAGCGCTCCTCGGCCCTTTCGGGTTTTGGTAAAATGTGCCGCTCCGGCGACAGAGTGTTGTATCCGTCACTTCAGGTTCTGTGTCCTTTAAGCAGGCCGAAGTCCTCAATTCCAAGGCCGGCACTTTGTTGCGCAATGTGGAGTCACGACACCTTTAGAGACAGGCAAATCGCGCATTGTCTGCATCGCTGTCGGCATCCAGTGCAAAGTCCTCCCGGCTGGTGGAGGTGAGGGCAGTACTGAAAAGCTTTTGTCCAAACGGAATGGGTCCAAGGCGGACAAGCTAGCGGACAAGCTGGCAGACAAGCTCAAAGCGAAGTCCAAGCAAGGTGCCGGGAAACCCCTGACATTAAAAGAACTTTTGCCTTGATGGACATATTTTATCTTATTGTCGGGTTTACTAGCAGGCGGTAAGAGCCCCTAGCACTTCCAATCCTAACACATCGACAGTACCATCTGAAAGGCTCCGCCGCACAGAGTTTTGTGCTTGTCTGGAGTCTTGAAGGTCCGTCTCAAGAAATGGCCATGTCTGCTCCTGTGTTCCGTTTCTAGCAAATTGGGTTTCCAAGCAATCTATCTGACTCTGGTCCTTTGCTCGTCATGTTGATCGTTTGCATGGTTCTCCGCGCTTTCGACTGGTGTATTGAGTGTTCCACTGCGGGTGCAAGCCGGTCCCAACGAATCCGATCGCCCGAGTGCTCAAGTCTGCTGAAACAAAGTGGCATAAGTGCACAACTCTGCAAAAGGACAGAAAAGCAGGTTTTCCGACGAAAATTCCGCTGAGTGGAGGGATCTGGCGTATTCCGGGGCATGACTGTACCCTGCATGGTGAGGGGGGGATTTCGTATTCGCATGACATGCCCGGACATGCACAGAAACTGACACTACCAGTACTTGCAGACGGGACAAGACAAGCACCCCTCCAGCAATTCCGGCAGTGCATAGTGTATGAACGACGTCAGCCTTCTGGACAAGGCATTTCGCAATTGGCTGGTGTTGCGTGGTACCATGGTTGTGGCCACATTGCTGATCGATATCGTTGCAGACATGTTTTGACAGTCTTCATAACAACCCGAAGCCTACATGCATTGTCGCCCGAAGCTGAAGAAGGCAATGCTCCGGTGCATCCGCAGGGTGAAGGACTGTGGGCTGGGGTTCCGTCACGTGGCTGACTTTTCGTTGCGGATCTTGCGGAAGAACAGTTGCGAAGGCTATGCGGCAGGTTTGACCCTTGGAGCCACCGCAAGCCGCAAACCTCAAGCAGGATCAGCTACAGCGGCGGCTGTGACGCTGCCACAAGGCAGGCACCGGCCCGGTGTGTCTAGCATGAAGGGCTAGACATTGCTGGCCTTTTGAAGGGCAGGCCTGCGACGAAGGGCGCCATCCACCTGCCTCTGCAGCCGTGCATGTCGGAGTCCATGCGAACTGAATTCAACGACCCTTCCACAAGCTAAAGCAGGATGTGTTCACTCGACGGCATGCAATCCTGGTTTGCACACAATTGCACACATACATCAAACGCAATTAGTGAATGCCGGCAGTTGCAAGAGGGTTTTGGCTTCGTAGCACCGCCCTCTGTGAGTTTAAGCTTTTTGCTCATCTCCAGATTCGTCGTATATCATCTACGCATGTGAATGAGTGCAGAAGAGTTCCAGATGCTTTCGGTGAGGCCCAGCTGTGGAGACCTCCGCCACGGTGGACTCTATCCCAGCAGAAGCATCAGGAAACCTGGCTTGGTTCATTGCTTCCCATGCCGGTGAGACTAAAGGGAATGCCGCTTCATGCAGGGGGTTGAGTGCATTGACCCGAGAAGGCATGGCTGCATGAGCTCTGTGAAAACAGATCGTTAGCTCATCTGCCCACAAGTCGTGTATGTGCTACAAACATGAGAATCATGTGTTGTGCAGCTCGACGTGAGTGCAGAAGCACACCAGACACATTCGACTAGGTCCAGCTGCGGAGACCTCCGTCAAAGAGCGCTGTGTCCCAGCAGAAGCATCAGGAAAACCTGGCCTGTTTTTCGCTTCCTATGCTGGTGAGATCAAAGCAGATGCTCAGTAGAAGGGTGTTGAGTGCATTGACATACGTTTGAAAAGCAGCGCTGCGTCAAGTCTTTGCATTCTGGTTGTTAGCCTTTGTTAGCTCATCTCCGGATTCGTCGTACATGGAATTAATCATCACGATGTGCAGCGTGAGATTTGAGTGCAGACGAAGCGTTCCAGATGCTTTCGGTTAGGCCCAGCTGTGGAGACCTCCGTCACGGTGGGCTCTGTCCCAGCAGAAGAATCAGGAAACCTGGCTTGGTTCATTGCCTCCCGAGATGCCACCAGATGCAGGGTGTTGAGTGCTTTGACATAGACTTGACATGTCCAATGTAGGGCTTCATGAACTCTGGGATCTCAGATGGCTCAGCTCCGGATAAGTTGTATTGTGCAACAACAAATATGACTGATCACAATGTGCAGCCTGGGCGTGAGAGCAGAAGAGTAGGCCCAGCTGTGGAGACCGCTGCCGCAGAGGGCTCTCTCCCAGCGGAAGGCTCGGGACACCTGGCTCGGTTCATTGCCTCCCATGCTGGTGAGGCTATAGTGGATACCGCCAGTTTCAGAGTGCATTGACGCAGATTTGACATGGCTGCATGAACTCTGTCCATATCCGGATATGCTGTATGTACACAGATGCATGCGAGTTTGTCGCAATGTGCGGTGTGACTTGAGTGCAGAAGAACTCCCGACGTATTCCGCTAGGAGCCGTGGAGACCGCCGCGGAGGCCTCCATCCTGGCCGAAGCAGCAGGAGATCACCAGCCTGTTTAACGAGTTAATGCTATGCTTAATGCTCTGTGCGGGGTATGTCTTCCTGTTGTTGCATGCTTTGCAAGCCACTAGTAAGTATGGCACCAGGTACGAAGGTCTTGCCAGCTTGGGGAAGCGTTTGGTTGCCAGGCTTCAATTTGCCCACAGGTGCCCAAACTTGACATGAAGTGATTTCGCGGAGCATCGTATTCCGTTCACAGAATCTTGCCTCCAGAGTTCGGGAGATTTGCAAATGCATAGATTTCATTGGCAAGCTCACGTCGGCCAGATGACCTGGAGATCAGCGCGACTTTGCCCTTTGAAGTCGATCTGGAGCAAGGCCGTGTTGCGTGGGCTGCTTGCAAAGACATCTCGCGAACAGAGCCGCTAGTACTGCCCTCTTGAAGGCTTTGTAAATCTGTTGGTGGGTGTTCCACACCATGATTTTTGGCCTAGCTCGGCTTTTGAAGTTTTTGCACTCGATGCCTGTATGTTGGGACACTGATGTCCAACAGGTGCACAGGCGGCGCAACATGGCCGCAAGTATTTAGAGTTTCAACGTGCTGCTTGCTGCGTGCCTTTGACGGGCGGCGCACGATCATAGAGAAAGTCCCTACCGGTACTTGACTATGGTAGTGCCAGCCTGGACATAGCTGATAATGATAACGAAGCTCCTGCAGTCTTTGCGTGCCTCTCAGGCCAGCAGATGCAGGCACGACCTTGGGCATTGCCTATTGGAAACTGGACGCCACAGCTTTTGCATCGCAGACCTCTCTGCGACGCTGCCCTTCGACGTTGTGCTGGGTGAGGTGGAGGCACCNNCCCCCCCCCCCCCCCCCGAACATTTGTCAGTTCGTGCAGGCCGGTGACGAGAAGCACGAACGTGCGGATCAAGCACAACCCCCTGTGCCTACAGAGGCACACTCACTCTTGTCTTGCACGTGGCGGAAGGAGCGGTGTCGAGGATACGGCTCCGATGCATTCTTCCCCGGAGGCGAGTGGCGCTCTCTTGGAGGCCGAGGAGACAAAGACCTCCAGCGAGGCAGAAGGGCAGAGGGGAGGTTTCGACGACGGGGTGGGGGAGTTCTTGAACACAATCTCTCAATGCACAAAAGGAGGAGGAAGCGGAGGACCTGCCGGCCGGGTGCCCATTCAAAGGGGGGACCCCACTCCACGGCACTGCCCAAAGCCGAACGCTTCTTCCCCCAGGCGGCGCTGCGCCGGGAGCGGGCCTGGCTCCGGCACCTGAAGCGGAAACGCCGGGAGGAGGAGCCCGGGCCGCTGACATCTCCTCGGTGCCAAAAAGCAAAGCTCTCGCGATGTCCGGTGGCATCGGGGAGGGTTACAGGGATGTTTGCCTGGTGCTATCAGGACAGCTTTGTGAGGTCCTTCGGAGATAGGCCTCTAGGCAATCTATTCCTGTCCTCTCGAAGCCTTCTTGAACAGTGGACACGGACGCGTGGCCTAGGGTCTCTTCCAGTGCTGCTGATAATCCTTCCCTGGATTCGGTGAAGGACAAGGAGAATCAGAAGGTGCAGAAGTCCAAAGCCAAGGCGAGCCTTGTTCCTGGCACGTCAACCTGTGCTCTTCTGTTCTCCTTGACATCTGCTTTCCGAAGTCGGGACAGCGGGAGAGACTGGGTCAGACTTGGGCAAAGGCGGGCCGCGGCAAAATGCCATCACCGGTGGACGAGGAGGACGACCTCTTCCTTGGCAATCGAGGGCACTTGGGTAAGCAAGAAGGCATACCATGTAGCACAAGTGTAGATGTCGAACTAGCCTTCCACGATCCGCATGTTTTCGCCGCGGCGCAATTGTACATGAGTCAATGGAGCATGTGCCTGCACGGTGCCAAGGAACAGGCAGCGCGGGGACAGAAACAAGCCGTGCACCCAGAGTAAGCCATCACTTGAAGCCTGTTGACATCGTTCAGCCAGCCCAATGAATCATGACGTTTGAACTCGGAGAAAGCAGGGTTGAAAGGAGCGACAGGTGGAACTCCATCCCTTACATCGCCAACCCCGCGTGTCCGGAGCACGAGGCCAAATCTGCTGCTTGGCACCCGCGCCCCCAGGAGGCAAGTCTGACCGGTACTTGTCTCGGGCTGTGGGAGCCTCAGATCTGGTCTCCCCGGACTTAAATAGCGGTTGCTCCACCCTTAATCGTGCGTACCGCTGGCCGATGCTGCGGTTGTGTCAGCACGGTGGCTGTCAGGTAGCTTGACCGGAACTGCCAGCTTTCAGACTTTCGATCTGCTTCTACTCTCGCTACAGCCCGTGTGGCATCATGATCAGAACGAAAGCAATACTATGATGATGAGCTATTGACACAACCTGACACTATGTCGATGCAAGTCTAGCTAAGCTTTTTGTCCTAATGCTATGGTGAGCGTCAGCCAAGCGGCTGCCCATGTGTCCGCGGTACCCTGGCCTGTTTCAAGCGATGCTACTTTCTTGACGGTTTGTCCTCCAACTTAATATTCCAGGGGCTGCGCCCACGCAGCGCAGGTAGAAGCCTGGAGCAAGGCGGCCACGCAACCCCCCTCCGCCGAACCCCGCTGATGCTGATGATGCGCGCTCTTTGCGGGCTTCTCCAACGCATTCAAAGATCCGCAAATATCGCCTCACGCTGCAGCGCCGGTTGCGGGTGCCCCGAGTGCTCATGATGCTCGCCGCCTGGCCTCCTGAGGTCGTCCAGTGCAGCTCCCATGTTCCGACATCCAGGCAATTGACATCAGGGCATCCACACGTCAAAGACTGTGCTGGTGTTGCCTACGAAGGATTGAAAAATTGAGAAGCTCTGCGCATGTGCATGCATGTCGAATGCAGCGTAGACCTGTCCCGAACAATCTTCGTGGAGACAATGAGCTGCCCTGGCCTATGCTCAGGTTGCGCTCTTCGACATGCTCTCAGCGATGAAGTATTGGCACTTTGCTGCTGGGCGTCTCACGCAAACTCGGGGTTCGTGTGTTTGCTCCTGGGGAAAGCCCTTGGTGCCCTGCAGATGAATGGAGTCAAGAAACAGATCGCACGCACAGCAGGGGATCCCCGTCCCTGGGCTGTCCCGGGCTCTGAGGCAGGGGAGGGCAATTCGTGCACCGCCGCACGGGCTAGAGCACTTGGTCTCCGGCAAAAGTTCTTTTTGCAGGTGCATGAACTTTCACGGCTTCTGCAGCAATTGGAGTCGAGAGCATTCTTTCTGATCTGTAGGCTACGGCTCAAGACCGTCTGCGCCCCTGACGCTTGTAACTGCCGGGGTCCCCTGCAAAAGGGGGCCGAGGTATCATGGGGGGAGATGGTGGCCAGGCCCGCAAGCAGGGCCAGGGGATTAAACCTGGGACCTGAAGAGATCTCAAGTTCAAGAGCCCCTTTCTTGCAGGTTATTGATCGGGCCACCATGGTCAAGACCAAGGGATGGGGCCTGACGAAGGCGCCTTTCCACAGCCACCCGTCCAGGGCTTCACCTCTACAGCATTTTGGGACAGACTTTGAGAAGAGTTTCTGCCCTTGTCCCAGGCCCAGGCCCTTGCAACTCTCAAGTTCGTAGTTTTGCAGCTTCGTGCAGGCCAGTGGGGACAGATATGCCGTGGTCCCAGAATGGAAGCAGAGCCTGTCGTCCGAACTTTCGCCTGCATTGGCCATGTTGAAGAGCATCAGGGAAGGGAGGAAGGGCGAGGAAGGGCGAGGAGGGCGAGGCCAGGAAGGAGGAGGGAAGAGGGTAGCCACCAAGGCCGCCTCCCTCGGCGAGATGAACAGCTACATGCAGATGGTCTTCGAGGACCGCCTGGAGGGGGGGGGAGTGTCCTCCTGTGCTTCGCCTGTAGCTCCCTGGCTCGCCTGGCTTCGGAGGACCGTGGGCTGGGCAACCTCGAGAGGAGCGCAGAGCACTGCCCATGTAGCCTTCTGGTGCGTGAAGACATCTCCCACTTAAGCCGACTCCTTCCAGTTATGTCCTTGACTTGGGCTTATAAGTCAGCAAAATATTCCGTCTTCCGGTGCACTCCACCTCACCACAAAGCCGCATCTTCACTTCAGTGCTTCCAGGCACCGAGTTCGCATGACCACCTGCATGATTTCTCAGCAGGCTCGGAATCAGCTTTTGCAACGCGGGCAGTCGTGCTGTCTACCTATCGACAGTCACTTCTCTGAGAGAAGTGCTCTCGAAGACTTCTCGCGCCTTTGCCGTTGGAGTCTGCCAGGTTTTCCTCTAGGAACCTAGAGGAAAGCTGACTAGCTGACTTGTAGTTAGGCTCTGCTCAGGCTCTCCGCGATCCGGTGGTGGTCACCAGCCCAGTCGTGCAGACCCAACATGGACTCGCTACGACCATTCGTGTGAGAGTTTCAGCAGGCATAAGCCGTGCTGTGCTGTGGCATGTCCCCTGGGGGAGCGTATCGAGGCGTGCAAACTTGGAAATCTCTACAACAAAGAGGCCTGTCAAGGACGAGCCTAGAGCACAGACTTCAGTGCCATATCACTCCTTTGTCCTGGGACATCTATTCCGGAGACGGACTTGATGACACACGGGAGCTAAAGTCATGTTCGAAGAAGCCAGATGCTGCAGATCCCCGGGCCTTCCTGTGAGGCTGTGATTGCGGCTCTGCTGAATCGGAAGATGCCTGAAGACCTCTCCCACATCCGTGGATTAAAGGACCGGCAGTGGTGTGTCGTTGCCAAGCGCTTCAATCCCTTTAAGTTGCCACGTCGGTACTTCACAGTTCGACGAAGGCAGGAATGAAGCAGCAGAGCTAGACCGAAGAGATTATTTTGTAGAGTGGTCGTAATACCAGTATGGGTACCTGGCAATGGTCACAGTAGCAGAAGAAGTAGAAGTAGCAGTCGTCGTCCTTGTGCTTGACCATGGGCCCTCAATGAGATGAACCTCGCAGGATGTGAAGCAGCCGCACACTCAGACTCGGGCATTGCCGAGAGCGGGTGCTTCTATTGGCACTTCTCCAACTGATCTTTTGACAGGTGTTGGCAGTCCTATAGGAATCTTGACCTCACTGCACTCCACTTCGCTTCATTTCACTTCACCTTACCACCGCCGCCAACGCCACCACTGCCGGATCGGCGACACCGATGCCGACGCTGCTGACGGGCTGACGACGACAACCCCCGACGACATAATATGACGACCATGTCGTCGTTCTTTCCTTATACAGGAACATATGAAACGAGATTGAGGAGGGAGACCCCGAGTTTGACTCAGGCACGGCTCATAGCATGACGCTAGGGAGGGCTGGCCTATGGCGATGATGGCGATGACGATGATGTTGATGATGTTGATGATGATGATGATGGTGATGAGGATGGTGATAAGGATGAAGATGACGATGACGCTGCTGATGACGATGGATATGGTGATGGTGATGCTGATGATGACGGTGGTGGTGATGATGATGGGACAACATCATGCACATACAGCACCTGCTGGTTTGAGCAATTCCACAGCTTGTGCAGCCGTTCGTTGAGGTGGTGATGCAGGAAGAAACTGGAATACCCACAGGGAGCCAGACATGTCAGGTGCATCATCACCTGGGCCGAAGCGGAGAAGGAACAGGGAGAGAAGCGCATGGCTGAAGCCTCAGAGGTTGGGTTATGCAAAAGCGCCGAAGCCCCTTCCCCTTTATAGTATATTGGATTGCATTGGATTGGATTGTATCACATGATGTGGGGCTTTGGGCCTAGCAACGGTGTCTTCTCCATTGCCTTTCCAGGTTTGTCCGGTGTCGAGAGAAGACCTGGACTCTGGCAGCAGCCGCGCCGCCGAAGGCTCAGGGGGAGCGCTGGGCGCGGTTGCAAAAGAGTCGCCTCCCGTGTGTTGCTGGTGCCGAACTTGGGACAAAAACGGAGGGGGGGGGGCAGAGAGCCAGGCTGATTAAAGTTGATCCTATCAAGTGCATGATGGTGGGAGTTCTGAGTGACGACGGTGTTGCCATTGTGGGAGCACTCGGTCAGCACGGACAGACGGACTTCGGTGTATTGTAAGATCACCTTCGGTTTGCTTTTCAGTTGTCTGATCCCGCTGTACTCCTTGTACTCTTGCTCGCCAAACTGAAGCTACGTCCCTCAGAAAGGTGCTCATTTGGCCGAGTGGAGCCGTGATTGCAGCGAAGAGCCTGAAGGAGATGAAGATGAAGGCTTCCGGCTGCTGTCGTTGGGGAACAGTTTCCGTGAATGGTTTAAGCACATGGAGCCGAATGTCACACGCTGCGTTGTTGTGCATATTTGGAGGTTTTGATGCAACTCGTCACATGTTCTGTTGGTTTCTGGTACTCTGGAGAGTTTGCCACACATAGCACCACTGCCCAGCAGCTGAAGCCGAAGACCTACACACTCGTCGGTTCTGCGAACGATCTGCCCACTCCTGCGCCGGTGGAATCGTCGATTCACCGAGTAATGTCAGTTGGAGGTGGCTTTGTTTAGAGAAGGGAGGGAACTGGCAGCTTCTGACTTTCGTGCATTTCGACGTTCCGAGGAGTGCCCGTTGACTTCCAAGCCCTTCGACGCTGACAAGGATCGGGGTTCGGCTGCAAGCGGATTTCATCCCAAGGCCTGAAGTTACTCTCCGTGATTGCTGCTATGCACTGAGGACATCATTCCGCTGGCTCCTGATGGCGAGGCCTTGGCAGCACAGTATGTGCTACTTCAAGCAGCAGCAAAACCAAGGTTGAGAAATCCTACTACGAGATCATTGAAAACTTTACCAGAGATGGCAGCAACAATCGCCACAACATCACATACAGAATTGTTACTGTTACTGCGAGGTGCTGCTATTGCTGCTGCTGCTGCTGCTGCTGCTGCTACTGCTCTGCCTACTGCTGCTGCTCAAGCTGCTCCTGCTGCTGCGGATACTGCCGCACTACGACTACTGCTGCTGGTGCTGCTCTTCCTACTACTACTACTACTACTACCACGACTACAACTGAGCTGCTGCTGCTGCTACTGCTACTACTACTACTACTACTACCACTACTACTTCCACTTCCACTTCCACTTCCACTTCCACTTCCACTTCCACTTCCACTTCCACTTCCACTTCCACTTCCACTTCCACCACTACTACTACTACTACTACTACTACTACTAG